GGGCCCCTTCAGGGGGTCCATCCGGACTTGGTCTCAGACTTGGGGGGGCTCGCGGAGGGCGGGGCATCGCCTCAACAGCTAGGGGCTGCATCATGGCAGGGACGGGCTTCCCTGAGCCACGGAGCTGGAGCTCGGCGCCTCCACTACTCTGCTACCAGTTACCTCTTTGCCTCTTCGTCGTCTAGCAGCTCAGGCTCGGTCGCCGCCATTACCACATCGCACTCCGCGGCAGCCGCCATCTTACCGCCGGGACCAAAGAGCCGGGTGGGAGGCAGGCGGTGAAGAGCACTTCCGGTCGGAGCATAGAGCAGCTCAGCGGCGCCGCGCCCAGAGGGGCTCCCTCGGGCCCGTCTACCAGCGAGAGGTTCCGCATGGGGCCAGAGCGGCCTCCCGCCTCCGGAGGTCCACGGTGGTCTCCGCGCCTGGGCAGGGGCCCAGAGACGGTTCCTGTGGGTAGGGGGCGCCACTTTACCCGTGTGTAGAAAAAGGGTACAGAAGGGTGTCGCCTCTTTAGGCCTTGGTTTTTCTCAGTATGCTGAGAGCCTCGTTGCCATAGCAACTCCCAATCCTAGAGCGTCTCCTGTAAGGCTCCGAGGAGTCTGAGTTGGGTGGGGTCCTGATGATCCAAAACTCTGGAGGGGAAGATCCCCCACCTCTTCCTTCCCAACCTTGGAGTGTGTCTCTGCTTCCTCCTGGGAAAGGCTAGAGAGACACTTTGGGCCCAGTTTCTCGAGCTTTCATCGGTCCTTGGAAGCCCTGCCCAACCAAGCTAGGGGAACGCAGGGCGTCTTCACCCCTCGCCTTTCATCGCCCCCGACCTCCAAGCACCGACTGGTTCATCACCCCAATGACGCTCGCCCTTTTACGAGGCTGCTTTCATGTGAACCGCCTGGGAGTGCCATCTCAGCATTAAGCCTGGAGAGACTGACAGGACATGACGCTCCAGACCCTGCCCTGGAGTTTATAAGGCAGCTCACCGGGTGAGGTCCCTGCTCCTGTGTCCCCAGCACTCCCAGCTCTCCCATAAACTCCCTGTCAGCACGCTTGTCTTGCTGAACGCACCTGCAACAGGAACGCAGAGGACAAGGACACAGCACAGTTAAATCATCTGTCATACTTCGCTCACCCCAACCAATAATGTTTGACGGGTTGAACTAAACTGAGTGGGGGCCTTCTGAAGTTAAACTGGGGAGATTCGAGGTTATAGATTAAAGCTCAGAGGAACTTTGACCATCTTCCCACCTTTTGTACACTGTATTTAAGCCAATTCATTTATTCCCACAGCTTTCATTTGTTGACGACTGGATTCTTGATATCTCTAGCCCAGACTTTTTGTCTAAATTCCACACCTGTTAATTAACCATTTACTGGATATTTCTTGGATGTTTCACAAATCCCCATGGCTTGCCACATTTAAATTGAACTTTCTATTCTCTCCCACACCTCAACAGAAAAAAACGAATGCTATACTTGAGTATCTCTTGAATTCCTTATCTTGTCGAAGGGACTTAACCATTCACCTGGTCACTAAAAAGAAAGAGAAGAAGCCAGCAGGTGGTGTGGTGGTGAAGGCACTGGACTCCCACATGGCCAAGTGTGGTCTGATTCCCAGACCTGGTGGCTTGAAACTGACACTGTGTGTGTGTGTGTGTGCACGCGCGTGCCATTTTCCCTCTCACCATCTCTCTGTCTCTCCAGCAAGCACAAAACCTAAAAAATAAAAATTAAGATGCGAAGTATTACTCCTTTCTCTTTCTTACTCCTGACTTCCAATTTATCACCAAGTCCTGTTGATTCTCCTACCAAGTTTCTCTGAAATCTGCAATGTCTTCTTTCCATTCTAATTCAGGCTCTCATCATTTTTTCATTTGTATTGTCCATGAGTAGAGGAAGTGAGAGAGAGCAAGAACACCCAGATTCCTGCCATCTCAATTTTACCCCAGTCTTCAGCCAGCCAGATCATGGGCAGGCCTGTGCCTGGCAAACCAGGGAGCTCTGTGGACCTAACTGGGGCCCTTTCCATGCAGGCTCTCTGAGCAGTGTGCTCATTGCTGCACCACTGTCTCTCTCCTCAGCATTTTATTTTTTTAATTTGGAATACTGGGGCTGGCAGGTGGCATGGTGGTTAAAGGTGCTGGGCTTCCATGTTGCCAACTGGTTCAAGTCCCAGACCTGGTGGCTTGCTTTCTCACTCCCCCCCACCCCAGTCTCTCTCTGGTCAAATTAAAAAATAATAATAAATAAAATAAAATAAAATAATTCTAAACAAACAAATAAAATAATTCTAAGCAAACAAAAAAAATCTTGAAATACTTACAATAGTCTCCTAATTGGCCCTCAGACTCATCTCTCTCCAGTCTTTGCTCTTCTACCAACGTAACCTTAAAAGCAAAAACTGGGGGCTGGCAAGTGGCATGGTAGTTAAAGGTACTAGACTCCCATACGGTCGACCGTGGTTCATGTCCTAGACTTGGAGGCTTGTTTTCTCACTCCCCCCCGCCAGTCCCTCTCTGGTCAAATTAAATAAATAAATAAAGTTTAAAAATTCTTTTAAAAAAAATAAATAAAAGCAAAAACTGATCATGTCACTTCACTGTAAAAAAAATAAGTAAAAGCAAAAACTGATCATGTCACTTCACTGCCATAAAACAGTATCAACAGCTTTCTATTACCATCATTTCAATCTCCTTGGTCTACCCCACAGGTCTTGGATTATGTGGCTACCTTCTTTCTCTCTCCGTGTCTCTCTTTTTTTTAATCGCATGTGCTTGCCAGAGAGAGGGAGAAAACATCCACCAATAGGGTGTGGTCATGCTGCTATTCCTTCTCTTCTGTTTTTCCATTCTTGCAAACATATATGCACACCTAAGACTGGGATTCAAACTGCCATTGGTCATGTAGGATCCAGCTCACTTAACCACTAGGCTGCCCTACTTGGCTCATTTCCTTATTTTACATTCTTACAAGCAATACAGAGGGTTCCAATTTTCTCTACATCTTTGTCAATACTTGGTACTTTTTTTTTTTTTTTTTTTTTTTTTTTTTTTTTTT